GTGGCGGGTAGCCTGGGCCTCCTCTGCGGAGGCCATCCATTGCGGTAGCCCGGCAGGCCTACCTCTTTTGGGCGATCCATAGCGGACCCCGGCCGTGTGGGCAGGGCCTCACTCTGAGGGCGATTGATCGTGGGGCTCCCGAACTGTGAGAGGGTGCAGGCTTGGCTGAGGGGCCCCACCCCCCTCCAGTGCATGAATTTCATGCACCAGGCCTCTAGTTTTCAATATTATGGCAGACAATAAGGTTTAATCATATCTATCGATGTCATAAAAAATAATATAAGAAAAAGGTATTTTAAATTTACATACAACAGATTTTTATGAAGTTTAAAGCTATGAGATAACTTAAAATATATTTCTTTTATAGTATGGTATATTAAGATAGACAGGACAACTTTAGCATTTTATCTGATGGCAGAGCTAAGTTGATATGTAAACAAAAATAATTCAGCCCATAACTGTGTAAGGTATTCCAGACAATATGTACACATTTTCAATTTCATGATTCTTAGGAGTTTTAACTAAAATATAGTTAGTCAGAAGGTACCTACCTTCAGCAAATTTTCACAGAGATCATTAAAGTTCTTATTGAGGGCTTGATTAGTCAGGTTAAGACTGCTTAATCGGATTACTCTTACTGATGTGAACATCTAAATATGGGGAGATATGATAGTATGGCATTTTATTATTTTAACTAATCACTATAACAATAAAACTGCTAATAATGAACAATAATAACTAATGTGGTATGAAAAAGGGTAACATTTTAATTGCAATAAGGAGGTGAAAAAGAAAACATATATTAAGAAGGAACTTGCTAAGATCACTTATGTTGTATTTATTTAAATTAAAAATGAAAGATTCACCTGTATTTCAGATGTCCAATTATTTATGCCAGGCATAATTTCTGTATTACAACTATAAAAGCCTGTCAAAATAAATTATAGTTAAAATATGATATTTCATTTATTTTTGCGTTAATAACCTGTTTCAATTATTACATGACATTCTAACTATAAGAACCATTCATTCTTTTCTAAAATGTTAGACCATCTTAATAAATTACCACTTTTAAAAAAATGTATAATCTTAAAAGGATTAAAAATCAGTTCATCTAAGTTCTAACATAAATATTTTAAACCTGTTTTCCGCCTTGGAGCAGCAAAGCACATAACAAGGTGTGACATTGATAAAACCTCTAAAATAAAGTTAGTACCATAATAATTATGAACTAAAATACTGATGTGCAAAAAAAAAGGACAGTAGCATCTCAAAGGTAATTTTTTCTGTTTACCTGAAGGAGGAGGAACATCAGTAAGGAGAGAATGTACATCTTCCATAGCATCTGTGTCATCAATCTGAAAATAGAAAGATTTCAACTATTACATAAGTAGTAAATATATAATCATTTTCAATTTTTAAAATTTTTTTTACTAAATAAAAAACATGAGTCAAAAAAGAACCTTTTCCCTAAATTAAAATATAAAACTTGAAAGAAATTCTTTTCAAATATCAATATATTTCTCCACAGTAATAATTATAAATACTTCCAAGTGAAATAATTTTTAAGTATAATTAATTTTTTCTTTTAACGAGCCTTTTCTTAATCCTTTAGGAGGGCATGTTTCAAAAGAAGATACCATAAGCAAAAATTATCTCTATTTGTTTAAATAAATATAGTGCAATTAACAAAAACACAATTTTGACTAAATACACAATTGCTTTAAAATAAAATTATGTAGGGATAAATTTAAAGGCATACCTAACAAATTAGGTCTAAATCCTATTTTTCTTATATCACAATATTCCATTGTGAATAATAAAGAGTGAAACTATGCAACTAGACATATACTGAATTCTAGTAAGTGAAACAATAGCACATTAATTTCTTATTTAAATTCATCCAAGTTTACAATAAATAGCTCCAAGAGTTAATATTACTTTAATTTTATTTCAACCCATAAATTTTTCCAGAACTACCTGCATTATTGTTATCGGTCTTCTGGTATTGAATAAAAATATATTACTAAGTTCTGATATTCTCAAGTTTATTGTAATATTTAAATATTATATTTTTTATATTTATAACAGTTGTAATGATACAAAAGAATCACATCAAGTATGATTGTAAAATTACACATCTAAAAACTTTAAGAAATTACTCCAATGCAATAATACCTCCAAAACAAAAGCATCTTTTTTCCCATGTGAAAGGTCCAATTCTGTAACTTCATCAGAACTTTCTGATTGAGATCTTAAGAGTCTTGAACGTTGTCGAGGTTCTGGGATGGGTGATCCTATAATCTCTTCAGATATCTCCTAAAAAATATATATATAATTGCTTTATATTACAAAAGACCATAATTTTCAGTTTTTTCTTTTTTTTAAATTGAGGTATAATTGACGTATAACATATTAGTTTCAGGTGTATAACACAATGATTTGATATTTGCATACTTTAGTTTGGTTTTAAATTTTTATAATAACAGACAACTACCTTTGGGGGGAGTCTACAAAAAATATTTAAAGTGTATATTTCAGAGTTTGGCAGCAAGATGGCGGCATAGGTAAACACCGGAGACTGCTGCCGCAAACAACCACTTCAAAAATACAACTAAAAGACGGAACGGATATCACCCAGAACCACAGGAAGGCTGGCTGAGGAGAGACTCTTCAACTAGAAGGAAAGACAGCAGCGTGCCGAGGCTCAGAAGAGGCGCAGTGTGGAAAATTTAAAGGTGCGGAGGTGCGCGCGCGGGGCGGGCTGGTGGCTGAGGACGCCGTTGTCGTTTTCGGTCGGGAGTGAGTCTCAGACTCTGGGCTCCAGATCCGGGCGAGTCTCTAGGGACTCAGACTCAGACGGGAGAAGTGGGATTGTCCGGCATCAGTTGGAACGTGAGGGCAGCTTTCTCTCCGAGGTTTGCAGCGGTTGCCGGGGTTCTGAGAAGCAGAGCCTCTGGGAACGGGACTGAGAGCAGCCATAACTGCTCCCTCCGCCCGCCCTGTTGACCCCGCCCCGCCCAAGCCCTGCGCGGAGCCATTTGCCAGATCGCCTCAGGCAAAGGCTAGATTAGCACCTCCCCAGAGCACAGAAGTTTTCCCATAGCTGATTCTCACAGCCAGTCGGCCTGGTGGTCAAATCCCTCTAGTATTAACTACAACAATCAAGGCTTAACTAGAACAAGACTGCGCACAAAGACCACAAGGGGGTGCACCAAGAAAGCATAAAAAATGCGGAGACAAAAAAACATGACAGAAATGGAGGATATAGAGCTAAAAAACGCAATTTTGAGGGCTTGCAATAATGTGCTACAAGCTGCCAATAAACTTGATGAGAGCCTCACGAAAACTAATGAGACCCTCGATGCTATGATAAAGAAACAACTAGAAATCAAGCATACACTTACTGAAATAAAGAATATTATACCCAATAGCAGACCAGAGGAGCGCAAGAATCAAGCCAAAGATTTGAAATGCGAAGAAACTAAAAACACCCAACCGGAAAAGCAAAATGAAAAAAGAATCCGAAAATACGAAGATAGTGTAAGGAGCCTCTGGGACAGCTTCAAGCGCACTAATATCAGAATTATTGGGGTGCCAGAAGATGAGAGACAGCAAGATACTGAAAACCTATTTGAAGAAATAATGGCAGAAAACTTCCCCCACCTGGTGAAAGAAATGGACTTACAGGTCCAAGAAGCACAGAGAATCCCAAACAAAAGGAATCCAAAGAGGACCACACCAAGACACATCATAATTAAAATGCCAAGAGCAAAAGACAAAGAGAGAATCTTAAAAGCAGCAAGAGAAAGAGACTCAATTACCTACAAGGGAATACCCATACGACTGTCAGCTGATTTCTCAACAGAAACTTTGCAGGCCAGAAGGGAATGGCAAGAAATATTCAAAGTGCTGAATACCAAGAACCTACAACCTAGAGTACTTTATCCAGCAAAGCTATCATTCAGAATTGAAGGTCAGATAAAGAGCTTCACAAATAAGGAAAAGCTAAAGGAGTTCATCACCACTAAACCAGTATTATACGAAATGCTGAAAGGTATCCTTTAAGAAGAGGAAGAAGAAAAAGGTAAAGATACAAATTGTGAACAACAAACATGCATCTATCAACAAGTGAATCTAAGAATCAAGTGAATAAATAATCTGATGTACAGAATGAACTGGTGATTATAATGAATCAGGGACATAGAAAGGGAATGGACTGACTATTCTTGGGGGGGAAAGGGGAATGGGAGATGCGGGAAGAGACTGGACAAAAATCGTGCACCTATGGATGAGGACAGTGGGTGGGGAGTGAGGGCAGAGGGTGGGGCGGGAACTGGGAGGAGGGGAGTTATGGGGGGGAAAAAAAATGAGGAACAAATGTAATCTGAACAATAAAGATTTAATTTTAAAAAAAAAAAAGTGTATATTTCATAACTAACTTTTTATAGGTATGTATAATTCAAAAACAGACATGACAAGGCATTACTGACATCTACTGTACAGAGAGAAAACTACAATGAGTAGGGAACTGGCAGTCCTTCCAGCTGAGAAGGTATTTTCTGCACAGCATTTAAAAGTCCTAATACTCCACAAAGAATTAAAGATTTGTGTCCCTAACTATGATTCTACTCTTTATATCTTTTGTTATCCAGTGGTAATTTTTCATAGCTCCACACAGTAAAATGAGGAATATAATAGATGTATGTGTGTATGTATAGGTAGTACTCATATTACACATGTATTTGCTTTACTATTTATTAAGCTAAGTAAACTTTGGTAGTTACAATAATGATCTTTTTGAGGTCAGTGTAAGGTGCAATCCTGTATGGTTTAATCAGCTTTTTCCTATTACATAGCCAAATATCAGCTAACCAGAGGTTCTAAGTATCTGTTGGCAACTTATCAGGAGAATGTGGATATGTGAGCACAAATGCAAAAGACATAGCTTATTATTAGTATAACAGACCCATCTTTTAAAAAAACAAACAAACAAGAAAACAAGGAAGTTATAAGAAAAAGCTTTTCAAAAGGCTAATTTTAAATGTTCATCGCTAGCGCATAGGTTACGTAAGACTACCACCACAGTTTCATAACACAGCTATCTATGCAGTACTTTCACATCCATTTATTTTGCTTGTACTCCAAATTAACCTGCCCTATATAAATCTGACAGGGTGCCTATTATAATGAATACAAAATAAGAAAGAGACGCAGTTCAGAAGTAGAGTAGTTTGCCTGGGTTTGCAAACTAGTAAGTGATGAACTTGTCTAGATCAGTTCTTTTGACCCTGAATGCAATATTGAAACTATCCTTCATTTTACAATTCTGTAGTAGTTTAAAATTCAGTTATGCCTCTCTTTATTGTAACATGGATGAAATAAATGTAACTATCTAAAACTGAATATATCTTAGATTCATAATGAGGTTTTACCACTGGTGCTGTTAATTCCCAATAAAAGTTTTGCACCTCATTTTGATACTCTGGCTGACTTAGTTATTTCCAGTTAAGTGGTACTACACCTTTGCATAAGAAATGTTTTTCTTAGCAACAGGGATGGACCTTGAGAACATTATGCTAAGTGAAATAAGTAAGACAGAAAAAGAACCCTATGATTTCAGTAATATGTGGGATATAAAACTGAAACTTGTGAACACAAACAGCCAGAGGGAAGGGGTTGGGGGCATAAGGGGGTCCTAATATGAGGTGACAGGAGATTTGACTTGGGTGGTGAGCACACGGTGCAATACACAGATCTTGTAACATAGAAATCCACACATGAAACCTGTATGTTCATGCTGACCAATGTCACCCCAATCAATTTAATAAATAAATTTTTTAAAAAGTTTCTCAAGGTATTGAGAAAAAAATTAAACAGCAGCACTCACTTCAGCTGGGGCTACCTTTCTAAGATACGGAACACTGACCCACATTTTCAGGGTGGGCATACATTGTTTTAGAAAATTGAAAACACAAAACTGTAATATGAGTAGTAGCCTTGTACACTGACTTTTTCAAACAAATTCTGATAGGGTAAGCTAAAAGACCAGAATGTAATAAGTATTGAAATAAGGAAAGCCATAGTAGAATACTCATAAATTGATTAATCCTTTTGTAAAAATACAGTCATGTTCAACATATGAAATCCATATATGCTGAAGTTTTTAAATTCATAAAAGATTTATTCCCGCCCAGCCGGTGTGGCTCAGTTGTTGAGCATCGACCCATGAACCAAGAGGTCCCCAGTCGATTCCTGGTCAGAGTACATGCTCAGGTTGCAGGTCTGATCCCCAGTAGGGGGCATGCATGAGGCAGTCAATCGATGTTTTTCTTTCATCGATGATTCTGTCTATCCCTCTCCCTTCCTCTCTCTCTAAAAAAATCAGTAAAAACATATTTTAAAAAGAACAATTTATTCCCTCCTCTAAAATGCAATACTAAACAGTAGCTCATAAATATTTATTGAATAAAGTGACTTAATTCACATTCTCTAAATATGTCTCTGTCTTCAAGGGGCTTTTATTATAGAAAAGGAAGAGAGACATGTAAAACTAAGTGCACTAAAATGTAA